AACAATATAACAAATTCTATCAATTTTTATTGTTTAGAAACCAATTGAACTTTAACAAGTAAACTTTTTTCATTCAAAATCATTGCTCTTCCGACGTCTGATGTCCTTTTAATTATAGGAAATGCGTTTTTCTAAGGTAAATAAATTTTAGGGACTGACTCTATAACCAATACATCAGTATCGAGTGAATCAAATTTTATCATTCACGCAGTTTATTTTTTCCGCCAGTTTTGACTTTCGATCAATGAAAATAGACATTACTGATACTTGTATAAACTGCTGCTACCATTTTCCTTACGATGTCTCAGAAAATCTTCTACGAGTCACCTAAGGGATGAGAGGGTGGCAATCGAGAAGTGGGGGGTTAAATAGAGAGAGATAGAGGGAGGACAGAGTAGCAACAGGTCGGCGAGTCCAAGGGAATCTTCTTTACAGACTTTAGAGCCACTCTATATTTTCCAATATTCCGTAATTAATCGAATTTTTATCAATAAAATTGTAATCAACAATTTAAAAATGGAATTCACTATGCGAATACGAAAAAGTTGCTCTATAAAATTGTTTGGGAATATCTTGAATCTATAGAAAAATCGTGCAACCAAAATAGTTCCTCTTTGAGCTGACCTTCGTTGCCCTGCTATAGGCATTCCTGTATCCATGGACAATGGGTCGATACCTACTATACAGGCTCTTTCATAAATCTCTAAGTAGAACATGTACCTTGGCTCGCGTCTCTTCCTTCAAGTATTGCCTTTCATGAAACAAGCTGTACCTTGCTTACTCTGTGTACAGATATTGACGGGACCCAGTCGAAACTGGCTGTCATTTCCACCCTACGGTCAAACCAACCCCTCGTTCGTCAACGTTTATTATGCCCCTGAAATAGTCTGGCAAGATCACGGATTCACAATTTCTTCGTAGACACGATTTCACAATTTCTTTATATTTAACTATCAGGCGAAAGTGAAGTTCGACAATTTTTTTTTAATACAAACCGTCGATGTTGTCGAAATTTGAACAAATTCCTATAGGTGTATCTGACTCCTGAGAAGTGTCTCAGATTTTTTCATAAGTCTCCGACCGTTAGAGAATTAAATTCTAGCATAAATCGTGTAATCGAAACGTTATAGTCTGCATTTTCGATACGGGAAAACGAGGGGCTGTGAGTTTTCCTGGTGGATAGGGCTTGGGGTTTTGGATGGGTGCCCGGTGACCCTGATCCTGACCAAAGGGGCTGAACAGAGGAGAGAGATGGGGAATCAATGCTTCTCTATTCACTTTCCCTTCACCCATTCCCCTCTATCTCTATCTTCTGCACGCACCCACAGCCTCTATTTTCCTAGCTTTCCCCATACAGCCAGTTTCAAAAGTGATGCAGAAAATCACAATCGACTGTTGCAAACTATTAATTAAAGAAGGATATTGGCAAAAATAATAAGAAGAACGTTATTTTAAGGAGGACTTTATTTACAGCTGAGGAATTTTGAATGGGACTGTACTCTACCTGGCCCTGGGGTCAGGGTCCCAAATCTAATTTTCTACGCCTACCATCCTAAGCTAACGGCTCTTTGTCCCTTACCCTGGTTTCCAATTTCTATTCTCAAAGCATTTGCACTTTCAAGAATTCACAGAAAAATCGCAAGTACAAATCTACTCTGAATAAGTCCCAAAAAATTGTCAATGTGGTCGAAAATAATTGTTGGAGTATCATATCAGGGTTTATGAATTTATTAAGAATCCCGAAAGGCAAGCGTCAAAGAGTTGTGGAATAAGGAGCAATAAGTGGTTTAGGAAAATCGTGGGCCAGGTCAGATTTGTAAGAAAGCACCTGTCCCTTTTTTCCGACGGTCCGGGAGTCGTCAAGTAGACAGTAGGAATCCTCTCGACTATCCCATCTGGCCCTGGCCGCCTGAAAACCTGTTCTCTGCCCATCCCGCACCGCCAGGCCCCCTCGAGGGGCCCAGCGGTCAGGGAAATGAAAAATTCGCCGGCTGTCTTCGACTCATTTTCTTACCCTTTCAATTTTACTTTAGGAAATGGAATTAGTCTTTCGACTCAGAGTCTTTCTGTAGATTCCCTCCGCGGATTTCGGGGTCTGGGTCCCAATTCTAGATTTCGTTTGCTTACAATTTTACAATCAATAGAAATTGTTTCAAAGAAATGGTGAGGATTGAACGGTGTCGCGTGTCGGGAAAATACGAAGAGGAGAGGTACGTGAAATTGGTGAATTGGGACTTAAGAGGTGCCGGTAATAACAGTCAATAAGCGGTTCAGTCCAAGCTGTCGATCGGTGAAACCGCCTGGTTTTCGAATTACAATGATTGAGTGATCCGAGACTGAAAGTAACCAGGCAGGGCCACCCTTCCGAAACATCCTAACCGACCCAAGACTATGACCAACGAAATCTGGCATCGAAATCCGCCGTTTAAGTAAAAAATTTCATACGAATCGAGTGACAAGTTTATTTCGAATTTATTAAGCATTATGAGCAATTATTTAGGGCTTGATCCTTGTTTTCAATCGATGCATGAGATTCTGATTTAAGCTTAATATTTGTATTCTTTCAATAATCGCTACGATCATAGTTTTTATTTATTAATTAATTAAATAATTGCTGGGAATTTGGTTATTCTGTGAGAACCTCGAAGGGACAACACCGAGGCTTGTTAAACCGGCATGAAACGAGTTTTCCCCCAAATGTTGAACTCGGGCAGGAATCGATCTGCGTCCACACGCACATAGACCGCCCTTATTTGTGTCCGCGAGGGGACAGGGTTGCACGGGGTTGCGCAACAGCCCGCCAAAATTGTTGAACATTCAGCGATTGTGTCAATTTCTCCGACTGGCTTCGACTTTTATTGATAATCGGAATTTCTTTTTTATTAATCTTGAATATGTGTAATGGATTTTTGTTGGGTTCGCAGCCTCGGGAGGGGGAGGTTCGATGTTGGTCCCTCCCGTGGCGCAGAGCGGGACTGGGGACCGTCCCGACACGGGTGCCCGGGCCCAGCAAACCTCGGGGACAGCCGCCGCGGCGGCCGCAGCAGCTACCCTCTGGCCCCTGGCACCCGCGCAGGCCAATCATGTGCCCGGGCAGCAGTCGCAGGGGATGCCGCCGCTCGCAGCAACACCTGCCCCCGCCCACAGTCAAGGTATGCCGCCATATCTCAAACAACGGGCCCCCTGTAAGAACCAAAAACCCTCAAATGAAATTTAAGGAATCGTTAAATAATTCCGCAATTCAGATTAGAAAGATTTCCAGGTGAACGAATTCTCTACCAAGTCTCCTATTTAAATCCTGGCACGACTTAAAATATTCTTACTGACCCGATTTAATAAAACTCTCGGTGTCCGTCAATTCTGAATTTTTCTCAATGAAAGAAATTTGAGATTTTGCTAATACATTTGTAGCTCCTAAAAGTGTGATCAAATTAACCCTAACGGTTTTTCATGAAAAACAATTCCTGCTCAGTTTTAGTTAAATAAGTGACTAGCCTAACCCGGTCTTCAAACTAGATAGCGAGCATTCTCAGCGGCTATGTCTACCGTGGCGCCGAAATAGCTCAGCTGGGAGAGCGTTAGACTGAAGATCTAAATGTCCCCGGTTCAATCCCGGGTTTCGGCAAAACACAATAATTTTTTTTTCGGCATTAATTTTATAAAATTCATGACGCAGGCCTACAAACTGAATCGATTTCCCATCCTTTCAACCTTTAACTTTTAATCAATTCGACTTTCTTTCGTTCACTGATTGCAGGCGTGAGTCGTTACGGGCTGTACTCGCTGTTTCCCGGGAGCGGCGGGGGTAGTTACGTCGCGGCGACGCCTGCCACTCCTGGCCCCCACACTCCGGCCAGAGCTTATCATGCGACCACACACAAGGGTGAGTTCTATCACTATTCTTTGTTACCCCATTTAAATCGAATTAGTTTCATCTTCCAATATTATCACTTATCACTTTCATAGATCTTTTTGTAATATTAATAATGGATATGATGGCTTAAAAAAATTTTACTCGTCGATCTTTGAATTTTTTGGTTTTATTTGAGATCGAGAAAAAAATATATTCTGGGCCAGTTTTTCTCAATGGGACAATAGCTCAATTAAAGGGTACGAGGATGGTGGCTGGCTAGCCTTTGAACCATCCAACACCCTCGCGCTCGTTCTCCTCAGGTGTAATCCAAAACCTTGATCTGGCCCCTCTAAAAAAAGGGAGAGAATCTTTATTCCATCGAGTCTTTTGTTCGTTCGCTTGATTATTTCAAATAATTGTTAATTAATCATTTTGCATGCTGGGTCGAAAACAGAGAGGACAGGTGAGTAGTGACAACAATTCTACAATAAATAAATGATATTTTCAAATAGTAGAATAAATTGTTATCTGAAATCTGATATCTCAGTATCCGAAATTGTTAAAGGATTGGGAATTTAAATGAATGTGCATCGATTCTCCATAACACTTTATTCCCATCAAAGGGGCCGGAGAAGCAACCCTCTCAACTTTTCAAATCAATCGTTCAAACAATTTATAAATCAGAAATATTGGATTTGATTTTTGGTCTCAGTTTCAGAGAGCGTGTTCTCTGCGGCGGTGGGGGTGGGCGTCGGTGGTTACACGTGGGGCGCACCGACGCCGCCGCCGGGTTCACCCTACAGCCCCGTGCCCGTCACCCAACTCGAACTGCTGGCCAAGAATTTGGCCAGCTTGGCACCCCCGGGCCAGCAAGCCCTTAGCCTGCAAGGTGTCGGTGTGAATGTCGGCAGTTTACACCACGCTCAGCACACCCAGCACACGCACACTTTAAACCTTACTGGCCTGCACCACCTCCATCATGGTCAGTTTCAAAACATCAGGATATAAGATCGTTCTCTGAGAACATGAAAGAGGACAAGTACTTAGTAAAAAGTCCCTTTTCCATTTTCCTCTACGATCATTATTGACGGAGTTATTAGCGAGAACGTGAGATGGCTTCGCACTCGCCTGGCAGGCGATTGGCCCACACGTTTTCGTTAATAACTGTCTTAATAATAATCGTAGAGGAATGTGGTAGAGAAACTTTTGACTCAAAATTTAATCGTGAATATTCTATTAATGATGAATCTTTGATAGCAGGAAGCTTGCACCAGAACACGTTTTCACCCCAGTTGTCTCTGGTCACTGGGAACGCACCCACGTTGACTATAAACAGTTTCTCGTCACCGAACTCTACTGGGAGTGTGGTACCGACGACTGGAGTCCTACTCCAAGAGTATCAGTCGCCGAATAACAATCCTGTCAATGTCAGCGTCACTTCATCCTCGTGTCCTACGAGTACCAGCACCATGCTCGTCCAAGCGACGACTAGCAATCAGATGGTACAGGCCGGTGCTACTGTTAATGCTACTAAGAAGAGGGAAGCTTTTCTCCCGACCCAGGGACAGCCGGTTAAATTGGAGAACAAGAGGCAGAGCTGTGTGTGCAGGGGTAGTAATGGTGCGTTTTGTTTCAATGACTTTTTTAATGGAATTATGGTTTTGGGCTATTGACAAAAATTAAAGGGGTTTTGGGCTATTGAATTGGCTCCTGAAATATACGTTAAGATATCTCTACATGTTTACAATGAAAAAATTTCTGAACCATCTAAACTATTAGTGCCAAAATTAAATTTCGTAGTTCATACACATTATTTTATTTCTCCGTCAATTTCGATGGTCCCTCGATGAAAATAATTGGAGGCTTATTTGAGACCTTCCCAAGCATCTTCAAAAATTGTCATTACGTTCCCACGATTTCGAATAAAAAATTAACATATCTCTTTTGGTTTCTCAGTAAACAGTTTCCGAATCTTTTAGAATTGTTTTAATTCTAACTCAGCTATAAAGATTGGCCTATTTGGAATTGATTACAGCGAAAACGAAGGCAGTACACTCGGACGCGGGGTGCAGCAGAACGTTGCCAGTGGCATCGTCCTGGAGCGGCCAGGACAGCTGCAGTACCAGCAGTAGCAGCAATAACAACAATAACAGTATAAACGGTAGCAGTAACAATCTGATAAAAAGGGAGCCACTGGCCTCGGTCCCATGCCAAGTGGCCGAAGTCTCCACGTCCCTGCACGCGACCACCACTTCCGTGAAAATCGAGCCGGTGCCGCCCAAATCCGAGAACGGTGAGTTGATTTCTCAATTCCCTCATAGACACACTCTTTCGAGAAAACAAAAAAACTCGCAAGGAAATAGAATCTTAATAAAAAGAACTGAGCTCTCGTTCGCTTTCGCGAGAAGTCCTTAACCAAGGAGACAGGGGGATTCCCTGAGGAAAGAGGATAGACAGACAAACGTGAGGCCTCCCTCTCTCCTAGTGTAGAGTAGCAACGGCCAGACGAGCCACAAAGAGAAAGGAGGCAGACCTCTTTGAATCCCCGAGGGTAGGGAGATTAAATTCTAGGGAGGGAGAGATGGTGAGATAAAAAATAGCGAGGTAGGGAGACGACCTTGCGTGGACTGGGGGGAGGGAGTTTTCATCGACGCACGCATGGCGACACAAACACCAGGCGTGGTTAAATCCGTACCAGCCTTTCTATTTGCCATACAATCCACCCACGCACCTCACGGAATCACGGCCGACCTACCATTTTTAACAAAAAATTGCTTGTCGTCCATTTTTTATTAGGGTTCGATTAAACTTTGGTGTACGGATCAAGGGATATGATTTTTAGTGCCAGTTCTAGATTGACTGTTAAACAACAAATCTGTAGAGGAATTGTTAGAGAAATGGCACTGGGAGCCCTTTAGTCACTCATACAGGCCCAAAAGTCAATTCTATGATAAAAACTGAATTTCTAATTACAGTTACAACCTTGTAACAGCTGTCAATTAAGAAACATTCAATATCAAATAACGAATTCACTATAAGAATTAAATGCTGGTTCTTAGTCACCCAAATGGGCCCAATATTCTATCCTATATCAATAACCTAATTATTAACAACAGTTTCAGCCTTCTACCAGCCATTGATTAACAAATATTTAATACCAAATAAAGGATTCATTATAAAATTAAATACTGATCTTCTTTAGTCACTGAAATGGGCCCAAGATTCAATTGCCCTACAAATTAACTCATGCCCGTCAAAAGACAACGAATCGAAAATTTCTAATCGAGAGAAACTGATGGAACTTAATCTGTGAACGACCAGAGAGTCTAGAAAGAAGCATTTATGCCATTTTCAGGGATCGTGATGCCCAACGCAGGGACCGGCGGTGTCCCCGTTGGGATCGCAGTTGCCAGGCAACGGTTGCAGCACCAGGAAACGTCTACGTCGATGAGAAACGTCTCGTTGAGCCATCACACGTCCCATCATGCCAGCTACCATCACTTTCAGCCTGACACTTTAGGTGAGTCCCAATTCTCGCATGTCGTTAATGATATCAAACCGACGAAATTATTCAAGACTCATGAAGTAAATATTTCATGTTTCTTCTACTGGTAGTGAAATGTAGAATCGTATTTATCTGATTGGTAAGGCTCAAATTTATTAAATGATTAAAGGAATCAAAGGATGAAAACTGTTGTCAAAGGAATGAGATCCTTGGTAGGTTTCCGCGTTTCAGGATCGACTAGTCGCGGCACCTCCAGCCGAGAAACACCTCATTCTAGGCTAATTACCTTTCGCATATACCTGTTCCACGATGTGAGCACAGTAGATATTGTTCCCATTCCCCCTCAACACTTTTTCATTGCGTCACCGAACACGATACTCCGTGTGAGTTAACTGATTCCAACGCTCTTCAATCTGGTTCTTCGGATTCTTGGCAAATTACGAGAAAAATTAAGCCTGATATACATATTTTCGAAGGTTTGAAAGCTGTTTCAATCTGTCTCGCGACGACGGCGAACTTCGATTCTCTACTAAATCGCATTTTGTAATCTTTAATACGACATTACAAATGGGCCCAATAATCTTTTTTGCTCAATAACATTTTTAAATGAATTACAAGAAGGCAGCACGAAATTTCTATGAACAGAATTTTCGATGCTAAAAGTCGTCGATGCTTCCTAGTCGTTAATAATAAAATAAAAATAAAATTCGCGAAGCGATGGAGTCTTATTCGAGGTTTGAGAACAACCATGACATCCAGAATTAAGCTTAATTCAATGAGAAGGACATTCGACTTGATTTCCCCATGATGAGAAACCTTAATTCTATTCTAAATTGATTCCTATTCATGACACAAGTGATTCGGGCCTTGTTCCAGGTTCGAGCACGGCCATGACGGTGGGTGGCGCTACTCTGGTGCACTGTGGGCCCCCGGGAGGTTCAACGGGCCCAGGGGACGACCGTCCGGCCCACTTAGCCATTCCCTCGGCCGCCCTGGCACCATCTTTGAACGCGGCCCTCACCAATTCCGTGAATTCTTTGAATCCGGCACTCGCCGGAATCGGTGGCAATTCCGCTGCTAATGCTGCTACCGCGTGGCCTCCTACTCTCTGGCAGTATCCGGCAGCTGCAGCCGCCGCAGCTGCAGCCGCAGGTCAGTTTATTATAACGTGGAATTGCTATTTAAGGTGCCCGAGTATTAAAAATGTGCGTTGCATTTGGAATCTAGTCGCAATTCCAATATAAAGATAGTTGCAATTGTAATTCCAAAATCAATAAGCGAGATTTGTAATCATCGTTCAATTACCCTGTTATAAACTTGTGAAGGGTATATGGAATATCTGAGGAGTGGAATTGCACGATTGGAATCCATCCAATTCCAAAAGCAATTAAAACATGAAATGAGCATAATCTGTGACTATCGTTTAATTGTTCCGTAATAAATTTGCGAAGATTGTATGAAATACCTGAGTCCTGGAATTGCCGGGTTGGAATATGGTAATTCTAAAACCAACGAAAACACGAAATTACCAAATCTTCTATTCTGTAGAATTTTTGTTTAATCTGTAATTGCGAAGGGATGTGTATGAAACATCTGAGAGGTGGAATTGCTGACTTGACCTAGGATCCTCTGTGACCGAATGGCATTTCTAAAAATAACTCGGCGCCCCTAAATCATTCAGTAACCGGTCGATCCTCGGGATTTATTTCGGTAACTATTTGTTAATTGAATACATTTACATCACAATATTTTTATTTCGTAGCAATGCCGATGGAGCCAGTGGGTTTCCCGCAGATGGGAGTGGGCCTGCAGTTGGTTAGGGACCCAACGACAGGCCACTTGCTGCTCATCCACGCTGCAGGTACTAACTCAACAATTCCCTTAATTAATTAATTAATTACTGAATGAGTGAATGAATATTAATTAACTAAATAAATTTGTAGAGCAAATGCAACAGGCGGTGGTCTGGCCCAATTACCCGACCCACAATAATAATAATGTGGCCGCACAGCCACCGTTATTATTGCCCCCACCGCCCCCGTCTTTACAACTATTAAGCGACATCGGGGGTGCTCGACTGGTTCTTACCGAAAGTAAAAGGAAACAGCAAAGTAGTTTGCCGATTGTGAAAATCGAGGCCGACTGTGGCACCAGTCCTGCCACCATCATCAGTGAGTGCAATAAGCATAGTAATTCCTGCAATTATGATTGTTATTTTGATAAATTTTTAGCGTCGACCGAGTCGACGAAGGCGCTGCAAACGGTGACCTCGATGACCGGGGCCCTGGTCCCGGAAACACCGCTGGTCACGACGTTGCACTATTATCCCCACGCGCCAGCCCTGGTACAGATCAGCCAAGCTGAGCCTGCACATTGCAGATCCCAGGCCACATCCCCAGTGTCCTATTTAACACCCCCACCGGAAGTAACGACGCTCCACGCGATCGAACAACCGGAACCGGGGCCAGCAATAAACGTCCAAGATGCATCAAACCAAACGGATGCCCCGGAACCGGAAGAGCACGAGTCCTCAGCTCCGGAGGCCTGCGTGAAACAGGAGCAGAGCCCCAGTCCCTGTCAACTGCAGAACTCTAATCTAACGACCACAACGACCAACATGACGAATTTAACTAATTTCGAGATCGTCGCGTCTCCTGAGAAGGTCTGCAATGTTGTTCGAATCACTACTACCACTACTACAGTCAATCCTGGAGTCTGTGGCATCGTGGGCAAGGTCGACAAGGCTGAAAACACGATTATTAATATGGCTGACTGCCCTAAGTATTCTATTAAGGAGTGCAGAAGTGTTTCTATCGACAGGCAAGTTTTTAATTATTTTTTAAATCAGTTAATATTGGTAGTAGATTAATAAAAATATAAGGGGAACCTCGCTAAAGGTATCAGGAGGACCTCATAACATTTTCATTGAGATATATCTATAGGTTTCCAATAACAAAATTCTAGAACCCCTCTGTAAGTTTTTATTGACTAAATTCAATTTTATGATTGACTCATTATTTTTTATTCAATCAATTTTTATGGTCCCTCAATGAAAATAATTGGAGACCTATCTGAAACCTTCCTGAGCGTCCTCAAAAGTTTTCATTACGTTCCCATTAACCGTGTCCAATAAAAAAATTCCATTACTTAGTACTCATCGATTTCCATTGACAGGCAATGCTTTTATCGAATCAACATTAATTCATTAATTAAATATGAACTTCGGTATTAGGATTAGGATAATTTTATTTCGTATTGGAACTTCCAGGACGATTGAGCATGTGGTTACCAGGCAGATTGCCGACAGGGAGAACAAAAACGAGATTGTAGAGGACGAGGACGAAGAGGTCCCTTGCAGAGATTTAAGGAACGGTCCTAGGATTATCGAAATCACAGAAGAGAATTGCGACAGCTTCCACGAGAACCTGGAATTCTTTGCCAGGAGACGAGATACGAGGAAACGAAGTTATCTCAACGAAGAGGACACAAAAGAGGTAAGAGTCTTTGACATAAAAATTTGAAAACAATTTAATTTAAACATTCTGTATAATTTCACAGAAAGAGAAAGCTGACGTTCCTACAATCAATCCCTCAAAAGAACCAGCAATAATAGCTAATGATAATTTTAACACCTGCAAGGCTGAAATTGCAATAAAATCGTTTGACATGCCTAATATCGATTGCGAGGAGCCAGTGACGATAAAACAAGAAGCTGAAGAGACTTTCGAGGAGAATTCCTACAAATTCGAGGGTGCTGAGAAGAGTAGGAAGCATCCTGTAGAAAAATCTCATCACCAGGGCATTGAGAACGTTGTTGAAAAATTAAAAAACAAAGCAGCTCTACAGGAAACGATGAATCCTAACGTAGAGAAGAATAGAGACAAGAATGAGAGGAAGCTGGAGCCGAGGAAGTTAGAAAATGGTTTGAAAAAACATATTCTAAGATCCTGTGAGAATCAATTCATCGAGAACGAGGTCTCCTCATCCCAAATTAAAAATAATGAAAAACTGGATACGGTTTATTATTTAAATAACAACAACAACAACAACAACAACAACAACAACAACAACAACAATAATAAAATGGAAGACGCGTCTCAAAATTCTCACATAAAAAAAGAGAAAGCTTTAGACTTAAAAGCAAAAGTTCCAAATGAGAATCAAAAGTCCGCAGTAGATATCAGTGGATTAGAATTGTTATCGAACAGCATTGAACAGCTCGAGAGTTTCAAGCCGGATTCGCAGGACTTAGAAAAATCACCAAATGCTCAGTCCTCACAAAACGAAAATAATAATAATAATAATAATAATAATAATAACGTAGACAGTCCTTTGGGTTTGCTCTGTGCCTTGGCCGAGCAACGGTTCATGGAAGAAGTCGGTGACAAGCTGCCCAGAAAGTTAAATCTCGACAACTCTGAAGAGATCTCACACGCTGGGAGGCTGTTACTTAATTTAGGGAAACGTGGCAAGGCTGCTGAGAAAAGGAAATTATCTTTACAAGATTTGGACAGTTCGAAAAGATTTAAAAATGAATTACAGTATTATGAGAGCGATGAAAAATGTACAAGGGAGTATGAAGGTAAAATGGAATTAGGCCAGAGGAAGGATTTTTTTGGTAGAAGCAAAAGCCTTAGTTACGATTTCAGCGACTGTCTGAAAGGCGAAGAGAATTTTCATGAGAAACTGTCAGACTCTGAGCCGGATATTTACGAGAAGGAGCATAGGGACTGTCATGATTATAGGAACCTTCAGTCGAAGATAGAAGCTAAGAAATTCTTAGCTAGTAAAGGGAACGTGAATGAGAATGATTGGCCCAACATCGATGCTATGGAATTGGACATGAGGGTTCGCTTAGCTGATATACAGAGGCAGTATAAAGAGAAGCAAAGGGAATTATCGAAGTTGACTCCTAGGAAGGATGAGAAGAAGAGCCCTGGAAGGCCCAGGAAAAAGAGCCACTCCTCGAACTCTGACAGTCTTGGATCTTTCGCTGAAAATTTGTTGCAATCTCCTCAGAAATCGCCCAGTCATCCGAGTCAGAGTAATGTCGAGGGCCAGGACGATTTGCCTTCTACGGTTCTCGCAATGCCTAGATGCAATGTTAATTTGGTGAAATTAGGAGAGCAGAGGAGTCATATTAAATTGTTGGATAGCATACCGAATATTCCTATCAATGTACCTACCGTGGAGTCTCCCATTACGGTGTTACCCAGTAAAACTCAGGAAGACGACGAGAAGAGTTCTGGCACCGTAGGTTTTATTCAAAATTGTTGAACGTCAAAAATCAATAACATTGTTAATAATTGGATTGATAATTAATTTTTGTTGCAGCTGGGCTACGAGACTTCGTCGCCAGCACCAACTATAGCCAGCTCGAGCTCTGCTTCGAAAAAACGGAAAGTGAGACGACCTAGGAAACTGATGTGCACGTCTGGCAGCGCTCGACACCTGACAGAGACCATAGTAGCTAAGAAGCCTAAGAGCAAAAGCTCTTTAGTCGGATACCTACTGTCTTCTAAGAACAGACATCTTCAGACGAAGGTATGAAAGACTGTCCCCATACAAATCAATTATACTTCGTACAAATCGATAAGCCATGATTATTAATTAATAGTCAAATTAATTTTTAAAACTCTGATTTCTCTTAGTACGTGAATAAAAGCAATTATAACCCGATGCCATTTAAATCTGGTTTGTCACTGAAGGCGAAAAAGTCAAAAAAACAAAAACCACCAAAGCAAACTCCATTACATAACAAAAACGTGATCAGTTCGATAATCGCCGAGAAGGCGAAACTGAGTCACGAAGTAAAGTTGGACAAACAGAGTAAAACGAAGCCGAAATTGAAGGCTGAGACGAAACTGAAGAGATGGGACGACGATGAAATTCTCCCTAGCAGTATTTCCGAAAACGTCCTCAATTTACCTGAGGAGAATGTAGTGGAGGCTGTCTCAGAAGAGCCTGTGCAGGTATCTTCATATTTCAGTAATTTCATTAATTTTGCTGGTTCCTTGGTAAAAGAATTGGAGACTTTTCTGAAACCTTGCCTAAGGCTAGAATTTACAGGGTGGTATTCATAGTCGTTACTTATTTTTAAGATCGCCATAAGCATGTTTCCTATACAAGCCAGGGACTTGCCAGGGGCAAATGCTTAAGGCGATTTTATAAATAGTCGTTCCTCAGTTCTCATTGTCAGTTCTCAATTCTCAGTTTCTAACTGCTTGTTGTATATTTACGTGTTTCGTGATACATGTTCCGTGTCTTAACACTTCAACAAAATTTTAAAAGGCGTTAATGAATAATAAAATAAAACGTTTAAAAATATATCCTTGATTTTCATCAACCATGTATCAAGAAACACATGGATATGCAACAAGCAGTGGAGAACTGAGAACTGAGAAACGGCTATAAATTCCAGCCTAAGTACTCCCTAAAATGTTCATCACGTTCACGCTAACGGTTTTCAAATAAAGAATTAATTAAGTTATTAATTTAACAGGAGCTGCCAGTGGAGACGACGGAGACTCAAGAAAAAGACTTGGGCGAGTGGAAACACGAGAGGCCCAAGAAAAAGAAAAGAAAATCAAGCTCCTCGTCTCCGTCCCGTCGAAAATCGAGTGAGCCTCGAGATAAAAAGGACTCGAAACGACGGAAGTCAGATGAATGTAAGGAATGTGCCAAGGCTGCCCGTGCAGAAAAGGTCGAAGCTATTAACAAGTGCAAATTGACGTCGGCTCACTTGGCTATCGATCAGCTGAGAGTGTTGACAGCCATGGGAGGGCTGTTCTACGCTGGTCGATTAAGCGCTGTGCAAGCCCCGGACGTTTACGCCATCACTCTGGACGGGGAGCGTGGAAACAGACCTCACATTCATTCCAGGGAAGAGATTTTAAGGGATGCTGTAAGTTTCTATTAATCGTTGGATTCTTGTCGATCTTTGAGATGGGCTAGAATTAATTAGAAAAACGAGAGACATATTTTTTCAGCTGTCATTAATTATATCTAATTTTTTATAATCATATTGCAGATCGTTGAGGTTTGTCCGACGTCCACGAAAGAACTGCCGCCAGGTACGAGGCTCTGCGCGTACTGGAGCCAGCAGTACCGTTGCCTGTACCCGGGGACATCGGTGGAACCGTCGGAACCTGACCCAGAACTCGATGAGAAGTTCGTAAGCGTAGAATTCGACGATGGGGACAGCGGCAGAATCGCTTTGGACGATATTAGGCTGCTACAACCTGATTACCCAGTCGTCGGTACGTTTTCCAGATAAAAGTGAATTTTGGGATGTTTTCACTCCGTCAATTTTTATGGTCCCTCGATGAGAATAATTAGAGCCATTTCTGGGATCTTCCTAAGCCATTCAAAAAATTTTCATCACGTTCCCATTAACGGTTTCCAATTAAAAAAATTCGCAAGCCTCTCGTTATTGACCAAATTAAATATTGTGACTTGCGTTAATTATTGCTTACTTTCATTAATTTTTAGTCTAGCTTATCAAAAAAAGGTAATTTCCTTGTATTAAAAATTTCAGAATACGATCCAAACCCTTTGCTATCTCTCGGCAAACGACGAAGGCAGACCTCAGTGTCTACAGAGGACAAAAAATCTGCGAATCAACCAGCTAATTCTGTGGTACTTTTAACTACGAGTACCTATGTTCCACCGGCTGAGTCTCAGCCCGTGGAACGACACAAGTCTGAGGAGATGGACCCGAAAGAGTTAGAGGAGTATCGCGAGAGGAAGAGGATGAAGAAGAGGAGGAGAGACAAGTTGAAGAGACTGCAAGAGGAGGGAAAGAAGAAGCATAGGAGGCATAAATGCTGCGAGGAGCATAGGAGGCATAAGCACAGGAAACACAGAAAGCATAAGCACAAGCACAGTCATCATAGCAGCCACAGCGAGGGCAGTCACATCAGGTTTGTTCTCAATTTTTCAAATAAGAGGGGTTAAAAAAATAAAATTAACGTTTTACCGATTTTCAGTAGTGGGGAAAGTTGCTGCGGTCAAAAAAGCGAAGAGGAACTCCCAACAGCGAAAGAGGACACTACGAACTTAGAAATAGAGGAGGAAGAAGAGGAGGAAGAGGTCGCGGAACAGGAACCGGTTAAAGAAGAATTACCTGAAGCCCCGAAGGTTCAGGAGAAACCCGAGAAACCGAAGAAAACTGATAAGAAATCAAAAATGCGCGAGAGGCAGGAGTCGGTGGAGAGTAGGAGTAAGATGGCAGCTTTCTTGCCAGCCAGGCAATTGTGGGGCTGGGCTGGAAAGGGATACAGGAGGCCGGGGGCCAAGGGTAGGGCCAAGAAACAATTCTTCAGGGCCATTCAAAGGGGGAACGAGACTATACAAATTGGGGACAGTGCTGTATTCTTATCGACTGGCAGGCCAGACAGACCATACATCGGCAGGATCGAATCCATGTGGGAAACTTCGAGTTCTAATATGATAGTTAAGGTGAAATGGTTCTACCACCCTGAGGAGACCGTGGGTTGTCCCAAGAATTTGAAATATCCCGTAAGTTCCTCAATTTTAAACAAAGAGAATGAGAAAAGAAAGGAATGCGTCTAAAGATATGAAAGAGGATAAAAATATGACTAGAGAGTTCGTTTTCCATCTTTTCCTACGATCATTATTGACGAAGTTACAAAACAACGAAGTTTGGACCAATCTGGTATCAGCGGTGAGACTAATACACCTTTTCCTTAATAACTTCGTTAATAATAATTGTAGAGGAAAATAGAAAAGGAACTTTCTACTCAGAATTTAATTCTGTTTCAAATACAATATGTCAACAGAACAAATTCCTATTTATTTTACAGGGAGCCCTGTTTGAATCGCCGCATATGGACGAGAACGATGTACAAACGATTTCTCACAAGTGCGAAGTCCTCCCCCTGGAGGAATACACCGAAAAACTAGGGAAGGAGCCTCACAGATACCTGACGATATACGATAACAACGATATTTATTATCTGGCAGGGTACTACGACCCGACGACCTATTTACTGACCATGCAACCGGGGGTTGTTTGAGATCAGCTTAAGCTGACGATTAGGTTGGTTGGTGCACTTAATTCTCGTCAGCGCTAACACGGCGACTCACTTAGCAAGATTTTGAGATCATAAAATGAATGGAGAAGGTTCCGAAGGAATGGGCTGAATACAATCAAAAGAGGAACTATGATTGTTTTCGAACATTTTATATAAGAAGGGTTGAGAACGAGGATCGTGGAATCAAAGAAAGTTCTTCAATAAATTGAGTTTTCCCGAACGAAAACAATTTTTTAATAGACTTCGATCGGTTCTCATCGTGAGGAACAGCTTAAGGGTTAAAATTGGATTTTTTAATTGGATTCATAGGAAAATCCAATACTTTTGTCAAATAACTTTGAACTAAGTTATTTCTACTGTTAAAAAAAAGCGATCGTAGCTTTCTTTCTCAGATCGCAATTTGTAGCTCGCGATGAAAAGCTTTGTAAAATAATTAACACGAGGTGTTAACAAAAGTAATTCTAATGTACAGGCAAGATGCAATAACTGGGTGTAACGAGTGGCATTATATGAGATGATGTAACAAAACGAGCAGACAATTAATTACTAAGTTAAGCGAGAAGTGATTCTTTCAGAGAAATATGAATGACTATTAAAACTGTACATAGAGATTTCTGACTTTCAAGCTATATATTACAGATATATTAATTATTATGACAGATTAGGGATAAGAAACGATTGTTAGACCATTTGTTAGGTTCAAATATTGAGATAATTGTTACTGAAACTGGTTTGACTAATCTTCTTTTAATACTCTCGAAACGAGCCACGTACTTAGGCGTTTAAAAGAACTCATCCTGGTTTTTATCAGTGGATGACAGGATTTCATGCAAACAATTTAAAGGAATGGCAGTTTGTATTATTATTCACTCGTCAACCGAGCGGAGTTTAATTAATTATGGAGATTAAAGGTAAAATCGTTGTGATAAGAAACGAAAGAAAGGTGCTAACGCAACATTTATTATATATTCATTTTTTTATGATTCATTATTATAAAAGGAGGGTTAAAATAATTCTCACATAATACGTCTCTGATTTTTTTTCACAATTTTTCATACACTGAATAAAATTGTTAATTACATTCAAGGGATAAAACATCATTTAAATTGTTATCAATTGTTTAAGAATTTTTTTTATTAATTCTACTTGCAATATGGGAAGTTGAAAAAATTCTCAGATGCATTACTACTATGACGGTGCATCCCTGAATTTTATTAATTTCCATCCGCTAGAATTGTCGTAATACAATCCTAGAAATATAGGAAACACTTCTTCGAATCTTGTATTAAAGTCAAATCCCTTATGAAAGCGTTATTATTAATTAAACATGAATAATTAATATTCGTTTTGAACTGATATGTAATCGAGAAAAAAGATTCTAGTACAAAACGCAGATAATACAAATAAAATAGCTGTACTATCGATTCACTTTTACCAGAGTACTTACATATATATTGTATATAATAATAGTTATTATATGGTGCCCAACATATTTCAATCACAATTAAAAATACATATATCATTCATTTCAATCTTCCATTAATTAATTTATCTGTGATTGGATTTGACCGGGCACTAATTATAAATGATTCATAGATTTCTATTATTATTATTATTATTATTATTATTATTATTATTATTATTATTATTATTATTATATCCATTCACTGTACATTTACTGTTGATCACGATCTACTTTTGATCCATATAGATCGATCTGTACATTGCATAGTATTTTTCCAGATATATATTTGCTAAATAACGTTCACCACCGATTCACAATTTCAAATTCAATCGAATTAGATTGACAATCGATTATTTATTCAGGAATTAATTGATATTAATTCATTTCTAATCAGATTTCCATGTGAGATTCTCAAATGAGATCTCGTTGGATCAAATTCCAACAATACAAATTTGAGAGAGTTTTAAGTAAGACCTCATTGAATGAAATCGAGAATTGTTTATAAATTGTCGAAAAATTCTCAAGTGAGATCTCACTGAATTAAAATTTGTTTCTATTAATAATCAGGCTGGCAATTAATTCATTCATTCATTCAGAAATCATTATAACAAAATTCGAGAGATACTCAAATGACATGTCACTGAATTAAAATTTGTTTCTATTAATAATCAGGCTGGCAATTAATTAATTAATTCATTCATTCATTGAGGAATCATTAAACAAAAATTCGAGAGATACTCAAATGACATGTCACTCAATTCAAATTTAATTGAAGAAAAAACTGAGAATCGTTGATGAATATTCAGAACACGCTTAGCTAATAAAGTAGAAGCATGTAGATTTGTAAATAACAGTAGTTTTAATAATCATTCTAGATTGATAACGATATCAATAAGGGATGAATATATTCGATGAAAGAATTTTCGTTCTGAATTTTCATATTTCAGTTATAATTACTTTTCTTACAGTTAAAAGAGAGTTGGTGAACTTAGGATTATTCCTTATAGAGATTATTAACAATTGTACATTTACATGGATGAGAGAGAGGGAGAGAATATTTTATTGTAGAGATTTTCAAAATTGAAGATTAATTATATTTTACTAAGGTCGACTTAAACGAGAGTGAAAGTAGTTTTTCGAAAGCGTACGACTGTCCACTGTGTGTCTGCGAGGTATTTTGAAATTTCCCAAATTTGTCTGAGGGAGTAAAAAAACGAATACAGGACAAGGCAATTGCGGTTCGTTTAATATATTTAATATTTTCCTACCTGGAAATTTCTTTCTCGATGTTATCGGGTGTACGAGACTATTTGTTTATAAATAAATGAGCGACGAAAGGAGGAACAGTGCGGGTATATTCGATCGGGTCGATTTTTCATAGTTTTTTGTTTCCTATCGTTCGGGTCATTTCGTTTAAATGAGGATGAATGTGTCGTGAGCAACAGCATTTTTTTATTAATATTTATAGCGAGGCACAATAAAACGTGATTCTTGTAATAATTTATACGTTTTGTCATTTATTAATACCCTCGTCTGTTTTAACTTTGGTTATAGTTGAAGTTTAGCAATGCAGCGAAATTTGTCAATTTTTATTTAAATATACTATTAAGTGGGATGGCTAGAAATAATTCTGACATGGTTTCCTCGTGTACTAGTATATCTCTGAGTTTTTTTTATTAACTTCCATACGTTAGAACCGGAGAGATTAAAAATACCAGTATTAAAAATCTTACATCGAGGGTTATCCCTTCAAAACTGGCAAAAGCTCCAATTTACGATTTTCATAAATTTTTTTTTAACCCCTTGACATACAAATTAAATGGAACATTACATACAAATTAAATGGAATGAATGACGAGTCAAACTCGTCATTGTATGTCAACGGGTTAATATAAGTAAAAGATCTGACAAAAATGCATTTCTCTACATTTTCAGGATCTTCTATACAACAGACTCCCAGAAAACAAATTTGAAAATCGTAATTTCAGGTACACCGCATGAGATCTTTCAAACTTCTTAATTTCAAAATCTGTCTATCTCTTTGTTTTACTTGATTTCAAGTTAGATTCTGTTAGAATTCCAATCCTCGCCAACGATTCGCGATGCACTAAAGTCCACATACATTAACGTAACGTCACTGTCACGTAGAGTCTCCGTAGGTGCGTCTAAAACCAGTGAGCTCAGGGACCCGCGTTTGACACCGAATTGGCAGGTGGACTACCTGCTGTTTAGGGTCCACTACCTGCTTCGAGGGTTCTTCCGCTTTTCCCTGTAGAGTATACATATACACTGTCCTAAAGCTACAGCACCGGTTCCGCTGCCGAACGAACTTCCTACGACCTACGGAGATCCTACGTACCGTTGACGTGACGGTGACGTTACGTTAGTGTAGATAGATCTTTAAACGTCCTTCAAGGGTGCCGGAGGACAGCTGATATTCGTCGCGAGGCAAATCGATCAACAACGCGTGGATCTGCGATTACGTTTTCTGTATCATAATAGTTTTCCTTCATGTTCGTTAATAAACGTCCTTTATCATACGTGTAGTGTCCTTTCGTCAGTCCCTGGAACATCAGGTTATAGGTCCAGGCATCGCAACCAAAGTGATTGGAAGTTCATATTAGACGGGAAGTGTTTCGTCGTGACATCGTTAAACAGTAGAACAAAGAACGATACATGCGCGAAATCGACGGTAATCGTATCGCGTAGAGCGATTCACACAGTAGGACGTCAGTGGCGAAATGCGGTGACGAGAGTGTCGGATACACATAGATGCGGGCATCGTGGTGCTTCGACAGTCGTGACGAAGTTCAGCTGTCGTGAAGCAATGTCACATTGAAAGTGATCCACATTCTTATCGAAGAATCCGTCACTGCAATCAGTGGGATGAATGCGACCGATGCCGTGCGCATTGAAGTGTTAGGGCGTGATAATTATGACACGTGGCGGCTAAAAATGCGTGCACTACTCGTAAAACGTGGCGCATGGGGTTACGTTAGTGGGGAAATCTGCAAACCGGAACCGAACGTCAGAAATTAAGCAAGTGGTCCACGACTGGGCCACAAGAGACGATAGAGTTAAATACGATTTAATATTATCGATCGGAGCGAATCAGTTGAAGCTTATCAAAAATTGTAATACGTCGTACTGCTGTGGAGACACTGCTGCTAAGATTGGAGGGAAAGTTCCAATCAAAGGACCCCACTCGGATGGCGACGTTGTTCATTGAACTAACGCTGCTAAGAATGGAAGAGAATGGGAACGTACGGAAACACCTGTAAAAGTTTTTCGATAAAGTTGATAAGCTCGCAGATATGGACGTACATATAAATCCAAATCAGCTCAGCATTATGGCACTATACAGTTTTTTCTAGAGCTTCGAGAATTTTCGATCCGCGACTGAAAACCGAAACGAGCTAATGGCACCAGAGAATTTCCGGGTACGAATCATAGAAGAGTACGATGTCAGAAGAAGCGCATCTAGGTTCAGCACAAATCAAGGAACGATCTTGATCAACAAGAGGAACCACTCGAGGCCAGCAAAGGATCATCGCCGCGAAAAGAAACAGCCGAATAAGGGGAAAATTTTCAATCTCAAATGTTTCAGATGCCATGAAAAGGGGCATAAAGCGATCGATTGTCCATCGCACAAAATGGGAAACAAGAAATTTACGAAATCATCTTGTCTGACTATTATAGAAGAAGGAGACTGTAGAGATGGCAGACAGATGGCACAAGAATTTCCCGTAAAGCGA